TGGCTTGTCCAGTGATGTCACTTGATGGTTTCCTCAGCGTATGGCCAGCCAATCCATCTCGATTTCTTCCTGCCTATTTGTTGCACAATCGGTTCCTGCTGTGTTGGTTCGCTCATTGCCAAAGATCCCTGCCTGTTGCTGATCTTTTCTCGCCGGCCACCTGATCTTGAGTGGTATTGAGCGAAGACAACTAGCTGTTAATGAAGGTCTGAAGTTTGTTTGAGATGCTCTTTATGACGCGCTGGCCAAGTCTCTGATCCGTATAATAGCACTGACTTTGCAGCTATATTCATTCACAATTAAATTTGTTTACAGTCTACTCTGTATTTTTACCAGTCAACAGAATAAATACAATTGCTTCACACAATTCCTAACAAGTAGATCATTGAACACTAAATCTTTAGTGTACAAAGCAATTATCAGTATTTGTCTATTGACTACCTACCTGTATCGATAAAAGTATGACAAATCAGATCTATATAAATTACTACACTACATATTGATCGATAGGTTACATACATGGCTGAATAATAGAAAACAGTAAATAAAGTGACAATTTTTTCGAATAACAAAGCCATGTGATTGTGAACTAAATCATTCAGTAAAGACTTCTGAAGTCAGTCTGAAATTTCAGACTTCTAAATTTCAATCAAAACACTGATAAAAAGATGTTAACATTGGAATTAGAGGCAATTAGTGAAACAAGCTACTGACGGCAAGTTGGTATTAGTCTAAACAGCAATAAAAAGATGTTTAGGGAAACAGAATAATTAGGCGGATGGTTGATTGAAATAATGCATCAGTTTGAACTGTGACAAGTTCTACCAATTACAAAAAGAGAAAAATAGTAAAAAGAAAAGATTCGTATCATTATTATTTTATGGACATGTTTTGGTTTATCGAAGAAATTGCGAAGAAGTACCAATTACCCTTTATCAATATAAAGGTTGCATTATTAACTTCAGAAATGGTCATTTTGAGGGGTATTTAAGGCATAAAACGTCATAAAATAAAAGAGGAGACTACTACTACTACTACTTCAATATACTTTGTTACGTTGCGTTTTCAAAGCAGTGAATACAGATTGAAAACATATGAGAACTAGTCGCACGATTAACTTCCTAGATCCATGTTTATTTACGGGTTTTCAGCCATATTAGTTACGTGAAGTCCACAACCAAAAGAATTGGTAGTCTGAAGTTTACATTTTTGAGTCACAGCTTTCATAGGTGGATATCAAACCGTGCAAATCTTGTTACGAAAATACTTAACGAACTCTGTCTGTGTGGATTCAACATCAAACTTGGCACCGAAATGCAGCAGTTCAAGCTGCCACAAAGGTAGGCAAGAAGATAAGTGAAGAGAATCAATAGAGTTTGCCAGGTATAAGAGCGAAACAGAATGGGTAATGCTAGAAAGAAATATGCAAGATTAAAGAGACTGAATACATCTGCGCTGGCCATTCACAACGATTTTGAGCCATGTCACCTATTGTCTCCAGCCATTGATTCGTAGAGTCCCGAGGGCCCCAACGCGGAAGTCTGCATCTCCCTACCTGACTCACTTTAACTGTCAAAGATTTCATGGATTGATGCCATGTTTTTGTTTGGCCGCCACTTACTCTTCTCCAACCTGCACCTATATCAGCTAGTAATGCCCGTCGAGAGAGGCGATGGTTAGGCATGCGCACCACGTGACCTAGCCATCTCAGTCTATGTAACTTTATAGCCTCGTCGATTGATTTTCCCTGTTTGCCCAACACTCTACGCCTAACGTCAACATTACTTACCTTATTATACCACCTAACGTGAGAAACAGATCGCAGACATCTATGATCGAAAGCAGTCAACCTTTTCATGTCTTCAACTCGTATTGGCCATGTTTCAGAGCCATAGAGAAGGACGGAGCGAACTGCTGAGCAGTACACACGTCTCTTGGTTGATAACCGGATGTCACGCCTACGCCAGAGATGGTGTAAGTTAGAGAAAGCAGCTTGAGCTTTTTGGATCCATGCTGAGATTTCGTCTCCAATCAGTCCGTTGGTGCTAATACAACTTCCCAAATAGGTGAAGTGGTCAACATGTTCTATCACTTCACTCCCTATCACTAAGCTAGGAGTTGACGCAGTCCAGTCCAGTAGCAGCATCTTACATTTTACAGGGGCGAATCGCATTCCAAATATACGAAGATTGCTGCTCAAGGTGTTCAGAAGACTCTGTATTTTGTCAGAATCCTCCCCTAACAGAACTATGTCATCTGCATATTCTAAGTCCATAAGACTATATATTCCCTGGTAACAAGTCGATTCCTAAGTCATTACGTTCAGTTAAGGGTGCTTCCATTAGCATATCAATGATGAAATTAAACAGGAATGGGGTTAGTTGACATCCCTGTCGGACACCACTGGTTGTTATCAATTCAGATGGCAATTACCCATAAGCCCTTGCACGGTTACGTGAGTTTGAATAGAGTGCCTTGATTAGTGCAATGTGCTTTCCATTTTCTACTTAACGAACCCCCACAATGAAAGGTTTTGAGAGTGAAATCTATGAGAAGGGAAAATTCTGATTATTTGAAAGTCGTAAATAATAATAAATTATCCGTAAAAAAAACGGTTGGAGAGAAATCGGTGAAAATAGCATCAGTAAACAAGCAAACTGAGAGAAGGGGATGGGGTATTGAAGATAAGCCACATATCAACTACAACGTTTGTAAAATGATGGAAACTACAATCAGATTTTGACAGAAGCCTATACAACTCACCGTTGGAGTATGCTGTATCCCAATGACCAATATACAGAACCTCAGTAAGTAGTTCGAATAACCTACCTAGTTCTCAATTCGAATAAGGTATCTCAGGCGCATTTATCCGAGAACCTTATGGTTTTAGCGTTCGGCTAAGCTAGAGCCGATGTTCAACTAAGCATGAAATCCTGTCATACAAACTACAGATATTTCTATACCTGTCCAAGAAGTTAAAATTGTCAGTGAACATATCACATAACAGTCATATCCTCTAAAACATAAGGAAAAATGAAGATGGAATGAGCGGGAAATATATCTTTCTCATCTTAAAACAATGAAAATTAAGAACTAAGGCAATAATGGGACTGAGTAGCTAACTGCTTTTTGTAGTAATACGTTTACAAAAATACTAAAGTCTGTGTATTTATGCGTCCTGTAAGTAAAAATGTATCACAAACCTATGCATAGGAAGTTAGTAGTTTTCATTTATGTTAGAAGTTTACACCTGTGAATTTCGAAATATTCACTGCGATTTGGGCAGTTAAACAACATCATAGAATACACCAATGATAAGTATGATTTTTTTTTTGGTGCGTTACGCAGTTGCATTACTGTTATGCTACAATTAGTAATAAGTCGACATCTCTGAATGAACCTATATTTCCAAATGTATTCCTTGAAAACCACAATCTTGTCTGTCTGTTTTCAACATAGAACTCTGCACAAATGTGCGCCATATGTTCAAGTCGCCACACTCCCTCCTTGTAGCACACAAAGCAAGAGAAGAAAGTAGAAGAAATGCATAATAAAGACAGTAAACAGAAGTGTGAGACAAAGGAATAGTAATGACGAAGAACAATATAATTATAGGTTTCCAGACCGTAGGTGTTACGAATTTTCTGGAATAATTTGAGCGCCGAGTCAGATTGATTCATTATAAATTATTTAAATTAATCCCAGAGTGTTAAGATTTGATTTTCTTAACACGCTGGGATTAATTTAAATAATTTATAATGAAGAACAATATAGTTTCATTGGAAATCATAAGTCACAAGGAGTGGATGCATGTGCGCCAGCCATTGAGAACGATTTGGAGCCATGTCACCAATTGTCTCCAGCCACCGCCATGGTTTCTACCGTTCCTTACCTAGCACTCGACCGAAGCCTAACTTCAATATTGTTCACCTTATTATGCCACTTCACACGGGAGATAGAACGCAGGCACCTATCATCAAAGACAGCTAACCTTTTCATGTCTTCCACTCTCAATGGCCAGGTCTCACAGCCATAAAGGAGGACGGAGCGGATTGATGAGCAGTACACTCACAGTCCTAATATCGCCCATGCTTCATAACACATAAGAGCATTTGGCAAATGGATTGAGAATGGATTATATCTAATTTGCAGATTATGTTGTTGTTCTATAATTACAGGTGTATTAGTGAATAGCAAACCGAGAATTGTTCTTCTTTTCTACAACAATACTCGCAACATACCGAAATATTGTTATCGATTGAAAATTTCTCTACAGTCATTTGCAATTGTCAAGCTATCGCGCCACTGTCACTACTGTAACACAATAGTCGTTAACGTAGTTAATTGTGATCGATAGGCACACACGTACACATACACACACACGACGCACTATTGAACAGATATTAGTCAAAGCTAATGTAACAAACATAGGCACTAATTATTGCGCGACACTGTTTTAAAGAGCTCAATGAGAGTTAGAGAGAAAAGGATAACATCCACGGATAATTATAATTTTTTTTAAACCAAGGCAAGCACTTGCAAATCATTTTTAATTAGCTGATTATCCAGTAAATCGGACATGTGATGCTTATTTAGTTACTTAGTTAATTCAATATTTTAAAAAAACTGAAACAAAGACGACTAGGAGGAACATTTATAGATTGATACCCCATTTGAATTCCAAGATATAACTGAGGAACATGTGATCAATCTATAATTCCAAAAAATGAACATCATTCGATAGGTAAGTAGCCTTCATAACACAAATCAAAAAGTCACTATTGGATAACATGACTTTCATCACGATAACTGAAGCGTATTCACTTTACAGGTGATTAACTAGTTTTTTATAGACTACTAATAAAAACACATTTTATCAAATAAAACACGTAGTGAATGAAGGTAAATAGGTTGAAGAAAAGTGTTAACACCGTGACAAATATGTAAAGCGTAATGAACAAACATTGATTGAATCACCCCATTTGCTACAAACAACTCACTTGCATCCGTAAAGTGACAGCCCCCACAATCTCAGGTCTACATTCGTCTGACGATGGAAGATGGCTGACTAATTGCTAAAATTAGACAGGAAAAATTCATTTATGAATTAATATCACTGGCACTCAACAAATACAATCTCAAAGCAAAGCCGGAATACGGTAATGTATCCGTGTATAATATTGCAAAAAGCAAAAACCACATGATAAAGAAGGAGGTCAGTGGGCTTTTAAGCTGTTTTGTCAAAATTGCATTAACAAAATCTGAAGTTAACTTTTTGACAATTTGAGGTAGATAGGTATGAGTCGATCATACTTTCGACAACGACCGTATAGGGCATCAAGAACTACAACATGCGACTACGCGTTTATGGATGATATCATATCAAATACCCAAATTTTGCAAGCCGTAAGTATATTCTTCACTTTCTAAACAAGGACCCTGATCTGTCAGTACCTCTTTGGTAGACCGTCATCTGCAACGATATGCCCAACTACTGCGTCAGTCACTGTTTTCGCGTACTGATCAGGGATTGCGATGGCGCCTATCCATCGCCTAGTGTGTGTTCCGTCATCACTAAGAAATACTGATTGCCAATAAATGTCTGAGGAAACGGACCCATCACATCTACAGACTGCAAGTCATCTATTGCCGCAACTGAAATGACTGCAGAACGATCTCCTTTCAACTGGCACTGCGGACATCCAAGTAAATATTTCTCCAAATCTTCTCTCATACCTGGCCAGTACTTGCTTCGTCTCACAAGAGGTCGGTTGCTCTAGCTACTCCTGTATGTGCCAGCTGGTGTCATTTTTACATCATCGCATGGCATAGAGACCTTCATCATTCTCTCGTCAAGTCAAAGTTCCGTAGATGTCCAATTGTAATCGATCTTTCTGTCTGAGTAGCGTAGTCAGCTCCTTACTCGACGTAGGTTGATTCACTTTTGTTCCGTTAGTGATCTATTCAGGGTAGGGTCTTGTTCCACGGCATGCACTCGGTAAACAATCTCCAGTAACTCAGTTTCGTCTTCCGGTCTAGATAAAAGGTCTGACAAAAAGATTTCCTTGCCAGTGACATATGAGATCGTGAAGTTATAATCCTGCAGGCGCAACATCCAGCATGACAATTCCCCATGTGGGTCTCTCGGCGTCCTCAGAAACTGTAGAGACTTGTGATCAGTTTCGATGTGAAACCGTTGGTCGAGTAAATAAGGTCTCTATTTGTGCACCGCCGATACTACTGCGAAACATTATTTCCCTATCGTTGAATACTTCTGCTCGGAGCGCGTTAAAACACGACTGGCATATTTAACAACTTCTTTACTCTAAGTCCTGAGTCTATGCCGTAGTCACTTGCAACTTTGCACACCGTGAACTGTTTTCCACGTACAGTTAGTCTTGGCATCATTTTCTGGAGGTCTAGAAGTCGTTCAGTGCTGTCGAATATTTTTAACGAATCTTCCGACCAAACTTCGACTTACCTAATAGCCTGTATAAGGGACTACTATCTCGATGAAGTTTTCCATAAATCGACTATGAAACGCTGCTCTCTCCGAAAAGTGCCTTTGCTTTTTCGTGGAATTCGGGGACATAATGGTACTTATCGTCAGGATTTTCTCTAGTAACGGTTTCATCCCACCATTGCATACTTTATGACCCAAAGGATAACACTTATTTGGCTATCTGAGATTTTTTTTGTTGATATGCCGTCCGAACTCTTCAATGCATTTTAACATGACTTCAATACGGTTCACGTGGTCACTTTTATTTTGATTGTAGATGACGAGATCATTACCGTACACCTCCATATTCTTTAATTTTCTAAGTAACAACGTTATCAGTCGTCTGAAAGTAAACGGTGTACCTGCTAGTCTAAATGGCAAGTGTTTATAAACCGATACTGTTTCTGAACGACGGATGCCGTCTTATCTCTGTCGCTCTGTTTTACTTGTATCTTCCAATGACCGGAGGTTGAGCACTGTAAACAAATTCGCGCTTTGCAGCCGATGCAAGCTCTCCAATACAATTGGCATGGCACTGTCTCAGCCCTGTCATGTTGATTAGCTGTCGCAAACTGACGCAGAAACTGTACTTTCCACTTGCTTTCTTCACTGAGAGAACCGGAGAGTTGTGCAGACTGTCAGCTTCTTCAATAATATCATCCTGCCAAATTTCCCTCACTTGTCGTTCAACTTCGCCTTCTGAATGACATAGGACTCTTCGCGTTTTGAATAGTGCCATTTCGCGACGGCTCAGTAGGATTTCATGCCTCAGCTTATCGTAATAACCGTAGGAGTCCCCATCTCCAGTGAACAGGTGGTCATATTCTTTAACTAACACTGTAATGTTCAGTGCTTTCGATGCGTATATTACCGTTAAGTACCGCACCAACCGCTCGCAGAAAATCAGCGCCAAGTATTGTTAGCCGTAACTCGGGAAGAACAATGAGGGGGAACGTTACTTTACTTTGACCCGCTTGTGATGTTTAACACGTGTTTGAATTGTTAATAATGAACAGTTTGAGACTGAAATAGATTCCTACTTATCAGTAAGGCTTCTGTCCCTGTATCTATAAGACAGGCTACCTGTTGGTCATTCACTCACAACTTAGAATACATTGCCCGCACTCAATAGCCCCCATTACTTCTAGTCTTATTGGGAAAAGAAAACACATTATAACTCTCTGAAATTTTTCCCTCTCCTTCTTTTTGGGCAGTACCTCCTCCAGTGTCCTAGTTTGCTACATTCAAAACATTGGTCTTTCTTGATACTCATTCGTAGTGTCACTACTTTATGCTGCAAATCTGCAACTTTCTGTCCCCCTTCGTTCGATTTCAGTGGCTTTATTGCGACTACCGTTTACGTTTAACGGGTATCTGGTCACCTTTGCTAGGACACCGATGTCTATGAGTTGTGCAGCATTAACCAGTTGTAGTTGCTGAAAAACGTGGTTTGGAAAACACTCGATAAAATGGGGCATTGATAACTGCGGCTCCGACACTTCATCTAATGTGGGGAGTCCACAACGCAGTAGATTCGTCAGTTGCACCGCCAACATTAACGACTCTCTGTAGTTTGCAGCTTCGCGACGCGAAAATGCTGCGTCGCCAGCTGCCTGCTCGTCGGGCTGTCGAACTCTGCCACCAATCGTTCAACCAATACATTAATTTTCTCTTCACCACGTTGACCACTCCACACTGTCATATACCACCTTTGCCAGACCTATCAGCATGCCCAGCACAACCTGCTTCCCCGTCGGATCCTTGACGCCCACCAGCTCCGCAACAGAACTGAAATACCACAAGAAGCTCCTTATGTCTCCTCCCTCGAAAGCAGCTGGTCATGGGATCTTCATTCCCTGGAGGCAGCAACACCAATCATAAAGGCAGAACACAAGAGATTTGGTAAAGGAATGTTTATTTGGAATTCGGTATCTCTAGATAGCAAAATTGCGTAAACCTTATTTGAAAATCGTCATTTGCATAAGATCTTCCGTGTTGTGTTTTTTCTGCTCTTCGTACTGCGTTTCTTTCCCATTTTTTCGTGTCTGCCACTTTTCACCACAACGCTAGTTCATTTCCTCCCTTTGACGTCAAAACGATGTCCTCGTTATTTGATATTTTTATGACGATCAACCCTTCTTTATATGCCATTGGTAAACTTTATCAGCAGCACTAGCCTCATTATGGGTCACTACTGCATATGCCAAAAGTACAATCATACAATCCTACTTTACTGTAAAGGTTAAACGACACTATCGTTTATTCAAATACTATTGTAGGGGGTAAAGAGGACGACTATATATAGAAAATAATCTCATTTAACATAAAGTGGTGCAACTGCATATAAAAAAATAACTCATAATTTAACCTTAGCAAACTTCGAGTGTGATTGGTTTAACAAACAAAAAATGTAGTCAAGGTTATTTGGAGAAATTACAGCTTATGAGAAATAAGTCAAAAACTAATAGAGAACGAAACCACGCTGTTTGTTTTTTCGCAACACTCTGTGACTGCCGCGAATGCCTCAGTTTTCTCACCATAGAAACTTAGAATTCGCCATAAAATCAACAAAAATCAAATCAGAGAAGTGAAGTCATTTTGGTATTCTGTTAATTGGTTAGCTACTGATACGGAAATAATTTGAGATAAATATCACATTTTCATTACTTCAGATACACACACACTGTTTGAGCTGCAGAAGTAATTACTACAACATGACAATGACATTTTTGGTTTATCTTTTTTGTGTTCCCAGTGAAACAGAATTTCAAGCTAGAGCTCTAAAGTTTCAGTAGCAATAGGGTTTTTTTTTACCGGATGGGTTTGCTAGCCTCAAGAGCCCAATCTTCTCTCATTACCAGGCTTACTGTTGGCTAAGCGAGGTAAAAGATTGCGTCGACTGGTTATCGAACCCTAGACTATTTACGTGGTTGGCCAGTGTTGTACAATGACAATGGCGTACAGTTAAGTTAATAAGTCCAACAAACGTTAAATGCTAATATGGAAGCATATGCACAAGGCTGTGTGGAAACTAGTGATATCAATCAGGTTATCGAGTGTTAGCATTTTTAGAAGCGGTCGAAATCATGACACACTAATTGAGAATTAATCAATTAAGTCATTGTTTCAGTGCTCTAAATACATAGAAACAACTAATACCGACCCATGAATTACAAATGTACAAATACAGTGAAATGCACTGATTGAAGTGACTACATTGCATAAAAAGAGCATATTAATGTTAAGAAAAGAAATCCAGTGAAACTAAAATAAACAGAAATGTAAGGGGGGGGGATAATAAAATGCGAAAACTCCAAGGTCTGAGAGAGAGCAACAAGTGAATATATCTGCACTACTGGGGACGATTTTGGGCTGTCTGACGATTGGCTCTCAGCAAGTCGAGGACTTCAAACAGGCGGTCTCTACCAGCAATTAAAGACTTCATGAAATGATTCTACGACATTACCTCACCACTCTCAACTCTGACAACCAAGTCCTATATTTTGATGTGGTTTTGTTCTCTGAGCTGGATGGTTAGTTTGCGAAGCTTTCATCACCTTACTGAGTGACATC